GTCTTTGGGAATGGCTTTTGTTTTAATGAAAAGACCCTGGGGACGAGTTAACCATTTAAACCCTAATAACAAAATTGAGATTCTCATTTACTGGCCTATACTTTTTCAATAGATGTAGTGGGGAGAATTTGTTGAAATATCAATTAGACTCATCTTCCTTGATCATGGATTCAATTCTCATGTCCACTCTGTTTTACAAAGCATTGATATTGCAAGGAGAAATTTGACGCTGACCACTCTTAGGGCTTTTTAAAAGGGTTAACTCAGATGGGGGAGTCGATTGACGTAGTTTGTTAATTTAATGTAAACAGGCGACAAAACCCACACAACAGATTGAATGAACTTTTAATTTTTATTTCAAGATAACCCACCTAAAACTTACAGCAACGGCAAAAATACTTTTTTTCAGTTAAAACTAAATTAGCAAATTCTTTTTCTTTAGAGGTAAGATCTTTTAATTTATTGATGGCGATGATCTCGTAGCTTTTCCTGAAACAGAAAAACAAATTATTTGAATTTTAAGGCAATCATTCACAATTTCATTGCTATATGGCCTGGATCGCGATCACCAGTTTCGCCTCAATATAAACTCATTCAATCAAAGGCTCTTGATCAAATTGAGCTGTCAGCTAAAAATTTACGAAATAAAGCCTGTGATAAGAACTGATTTAAACTTGATCTAATTTGTGAATTGCAATTCCTATGTTTCCCTTCATTTAGGTTTGCTAAATCGGAAAAAGGAAAAAAAAAGTGTTAAATATAGGCGGAGACATCGAGAGAAAAATTAAAAGGGAGTAGGTACTTGGGGATGCTGACCTTTCCCCCAGTTTCTCGCTCGGTTCCTTCCGTCCGCCCGTTTGTCAAGTCTCTATTTAGCCTTGTCCCAAGTTAAGCTGATGACCTCGCAGGACTAATGTATGACGTCAATAATGTTACGCTCGAATCTGCCATCGATCGATTTGAACACAAATACCGGCGTTCTTTTTGCCCGCAAACAGTTAAATAACTATTACAGAAATTAACGAATAAGAAGAGAGTAGAGATATGACTACTTGTCAAGAAATTAAAAAGATTGAATACTCATAATTTTACCGGGGCATTTCTTCTTTCATTTCCTTGCTTCGTTAAACATTTCGTTTAGTGCCAGTTCAAACGTCTAACTCTTGGCAAAAGCGATACTGAGAATGGAACTGACGCAAATTAAATACGGGTGAAGTCTGAAAGGACTTACCATTAGTCGACGGTTAATTTCTCGCTTTCTTCCAAATTCAACCGGTCGAATATACGAGGGCCTATCTTCATCTGCACTGAGTACTTTTTCCTTGAAAAAAAGTCATGATTTTTTTAATAGTGTCGCACACTAACACAACAAGCCACTAAGTTTTTTGCCTCATTATCTTTACCCAGCGACAAGCTGTGATACTGAACAAAGAAAATATACAGATTGCTCTCAAAATGACATCCGTAACGGAGAAATGAACATAGAAAAGTAGGTCCTTATAACAAAAAATCTTTTTTTTTTTTTGGCAAGGTATGGTTTTAATTCATATGACTCAGTGTAAGTCAGAAAATTTAAAGGCTTATTGAATAAACACTCAACGTCCCTAAGTCAAAAAGTCTATTTACCTGAAGTATGTCCTCAGCGTTCCTTTTTCTCCCATATTCAGGCGGTGGAATATAAGGCGGTCTTTGCGCGTCTGACAGTACAATCAAGCCAAAGCTAAGGATTAAACACAAAAACCACGATTGACTCTCCATGACTTATAATGAATCAACAATAAACAGGCCGAGTTATATGCCTCAACAGTCAGTTGCTTTCTACTAATGGGAGGCCTTTATTTATAGTAAAATTCATTGAGTCATCTAAACAAAAAAGCCACACACCTGCTCATCTCTTTCACCCAAAGTGGGTTTTCTTTTCCAAGCGATTTCCTGTATATGCGCCATTAAGAGATGGTTCATATCCTTGTTAGGTGAAATGTTATCTGTTGTTTCCACGAGGGGATGGCTTTGAATTGAAATTGTAATTAAATTCCTAATTTCCCGATTTCCGACGCGTTCCATTGTTGAAATCATCAGGAAAACGTTATTAAATCTTTACTGATGACCTTCTTTTTTTCTTCATTCCTTCTATACTAGTTTTCTTTTATAGTTTTCACATTTTACCGCAATATGAAAGAAACTATGCCCCCCTGTCGCAGTTATTTAACAGCTACTTAGGAGATAAGATATTGAGCTTGACGCTCCTAACATGTCATGGACACAATTAACTTTTGAGTGTTAAATTCATAAACATTCAACGACGCATTTTAATAAAGATGAGATGTTTTTTTAATTTGTTGATCAATGAAATAATTAAGCTTTTCGAGCCACAGTTTTTTTTTTGAATCGGGAAAGGATTAGAACTTCTTTTATCTCGAAGGGTGGACCATGCAGTTGTGAAAAGATAACCAAGGGCGAGGGAAATTCTCCTCGACGTGTAAGTCTCTTTCTAGAACTGAAGAGAAACTTTAGGATAACAAAGGGTGGCCGTAGAGAAGAGGCTTTATGCAAGCTGTTGGAAATTGCTTATCAGATTTAGATGTTTCGAGAAAATAAGGAGGGTCACCATTGAAAGATGTTCTAAGTAATGGATGATCAGAATAGATAAGGAAAAAAACAGGCCACTATGTAATTTGGACAGCTGAGTTAACTTAAAGGTATAGTTAGGCCGTAAAGGAGAATTTTTTTGATCTTTTTTAAAATCAACTTTACACTGACCACACAGTAATTTAGTCGTTTATTGAAACTATTACGTCCTAAATTCATTGTTCACTCGATTGGCGTTAAATTTGCCTACAGAAACTTTTTAAAACCGTTATTAAGCACTTTTTAAACCTTTACGCACCACCATAGCTGTTTATCATGTCGCTTGCAAAACCGATATGTTACTGAAGGAAAAAGCTTTTTTTAAAAAATGGCTCGTAAACTCCTTTTGTAAGAGAAAGAAAAACGGAGGTTGAAAATGGAAAAAAAAACTAAGCACAAAAAAAATTAAGACAATGGCCATGAAGCACTGTTCAATATTTACAGTAGATAAGGATATATATAGGGTCCCAAGTAAATTTTTAATTGAAGGAAAAACCTGGCAGGCGCTGTTTTCGCGTTGTTACCCTATCGTAACCCACTAGTCCCGCGTCTGTCTTTTTTGTGGCTTATCTTCCGACCTTTGTCACATAGATCAAAGAGCCCTCGGTTAAAACATAATTCAACGACAAATGTAAAGGGTACTGTAGATTCGATAAAACGTGGGATATGCTCGGCTTTCGACACAAATAGCTTTTAAAAAATTGTGCCAGTAGAAAATGTTGGATTACCAGCCCAAAGGAAAGAAAACCGTTGGAAATTTTATTCATTATATATTTTTATTTAATCACTGAAAGAAAAAAATTGACAATCGAGAAGTTAATTGTTTTTCTTTCACGATTTTTTGAAAAAAAAAATTAAGAGAGTCATCGCAGACTTCAGCTTTACAATACTACCACATCGTGACATTATAAATCCCTGATTATTTTACGGACACGTAAAACACAAGCTTTCATTAATTTACACTCATCGTCAAGTGGCATATCGCGTCTTTGTTGCAAGCAAATAAACTACTCAGTACTCCGCAGTATAGTCTGAAGTTTTTTAATAAATAGTATTCAGTTTCAAGCTTTCTTTATTAGAAAAAAGAAAGAAACTAAGCGAACTTCAAGAATATTAATAAGTTATTTTATGCCGGTACGTACACAGCTGGGTACACATCTCACTCTCACTAGTACTGTGCTTCACATTTCAATGAAAAGGAAACAGACTCCTATCACATTGCATGAAGTTTAGATTGAGGAGATTCTATCTCTGGCCTTAGTTTCCGTATCCGTTAAAGATAAACAAGTATTTTTCTCAGTCACTTTCGTTGAACCCAATACAACGCACAGCTCGCTTTACACGTGGTTTTCTACGTTGGCTGTCAATGAAATATACCTAATGGTTGACTACATTAACAATATTCGAAAGAAAAGTAAAAATAAATTTTTAATTCTGCATCTTTCTGTAATTTTCCTTTAACGATAAATAACTATCGTCTCACCACAGTTACTTAGGCAGACTTAGTTACTGATCGCAACGTTTTTATCGCGTACCACCAGTCTGTAGGTCTTTACCAGGCGATGGTGTCAATTTCCCTTTTACCGGCCTCAATAGACCTATTCGGCTAACTCAATGTTGTACCCAATTCAAACCCTTTGGGAATAAAACGTTTTGTTTCAGGAATTTCCATATCGTTTAATTGTGAATGCCACATTATAATGCAAATACAATACACAAAGAATCTTAACCCCGGGAGATTTAAATTAGGTACAACATCGAGTCAGCCGAATAGGTCTATGCACAGCTCGCTTTAAACTTGGTCTTATCAGTGTAAGTTGCAAATTAAATACAGTCGAACCTCGTCCATGGCGACCCCCCCTCACAAGCGACCACAACCCATAAACGACCGCCAATCCAAAACACCAAAATTTTCCCAGTCAAAGCCTTACAGTTGGACCTCATGCATGTAAGCAACCGCGAATACTTTTTGGGCCTGACGGTTAATGATTTTAATGATTTTATTAATAATCACATTGCAGTTTTTCTATTTCACTTTTATATTACACAGTAAAGTTGGACTTAAGTTGTTCTTAGTGTCCCCGATTAGTAGGCCTGACGGCAAGCTAGAAGATTAGACACTTAAGTTGTTGATTGATTGATTGATTGATCTTCATGTAATTTTACCAAAAGAAACAATCTGACTTCAGCCGATGTTACCTAATGCTAACCGCCTGGACCTCTTCTCGGAAGAGGCACCCTGTGGTTCGATTCTTGTAAGGTTGGCATTAGGTAACATCGGCTGAAGTCATTTGGTTCCTTTCAGTAAAATTACATGAAGAACAACTTAAGTCCAACTTTACTGTGTAATATAAAATGAAATAGAAAAAATCCACTAGCATGTAATGCTTTGAACCCGGGTCACTTGCTTTATAGCCTACATCCATATCCACTACACCATCGAGGACTAGCTGCCAAATCCAATAATATTTAAAACATACATGTTCTTATGCCGTACCCCATTAGAATATTTGAAAGCTAACCGTTTTCAGTTCAGTGCTTAACCCTAATCACTGCAGATCAGTGCTTAACTCTCTACTGTGCTCTCTCCATAACTGGCGCTCTGTAGTTTTGGTTTCTTCAGCTATTCTAGCCTCATTCTACATTCCAGTCTCGTTCCATTATGGAAATAATGCGTTGTGTAAAATTCATAAGGTGTTCAATCTGGCTTCACTCGATGTCATCTAACGTTAACCCGCCCCGTAAACTACCACTCAGTCGTTGCATTTTGGGTGGTCGCTTACGGGAGGTTCGACTGTATGTGATTAAAATCTTTGTCTTTTTAATTTGCAGCTGTCTCATTCTGAATTCTGGGTAAAAAGTTAAAAGGTCAACTCCACATGCAGTTAGTTTAAATATTTGCTAGTTCAATATCTTCTGCGTCGTCATCTTGATTTAAACCAAAACCATCCAAGTTCTCATTCAGCAAATCGCTTGTAACACCATTCGTGTCTTGTTCCCCATCGTATTTCAAGTGATGAAAATATTTTGCGACTGCGATGGCCAGTTTCTTAGCCCAACTCTTAGTTTCACATAAGAACGCATGCGTCAGATACACTTCCCGTCCTTCCCCTGGACCGTGGTGGTAGTTAAATACAAGCACTTTGGGTCTTTTTCCATCAACACCGCAGTAGATAATTCTCCTGAAATTGTAAATAACTTTGTGAGCTTCTTGAGCCTCGCCGTCGGTTTTCAACTCAAAGCTGTTGTCTTTGATCTCCATGATACGCTTGGTAAGCAAGTTCCGTTTCAGTTTTTCTTGGCAATTGTCGAATATTTCCTGCACTGATCCGCATATTCCATCCCCAAGAGGGCAGAGAATTTCCACGCCTCCGAGATAAATAACTGAAACTCTAAGTTGTTTCTTGCGTCTTCCTCGCGAAAATCGAATCTCTCGCAAGAACGAGTACGCCATCCTGAGTGTTGTGAGGACGTAAAATTATCGTGCTGAAAGTAGCACGACTCCCTACTCTTAAGACTCTACGGCATCTGCTCAAATGTATGTCAGGTAGAATAAAGCTAAGGAGACATAAAGTAAACAAAGAAATGCAAATATTGACTCGAAATTCTTCTTAGAAGCGCTGTAATACGTGCACGAACCAAAGGTTAATTTGACAGCCTGAGGGATGCGGATGTCACTGTTGTCAAAGAAAGTAACAAACGAAATTCGACAGCGGTTCTTGGTCTTCTCGCCAACTTGTCGAAACAAGTGCTTTCTTGAGATAAACGGTTCAGTCAATGCCTCGCTTTTAAGCTGAAAAATAGTAAGATATGGCACTAAATCTGGCAGGGAACGCTAGTTCTCTTAGATCTCAAGAGATAGTGGTTTCGTTGTTATTTTTAAATACTACATAAACACACACCCACTGTTTTCCGAATGAAATAGGAATGTTTCGAAAACAATCTATGAATACGTCATCGTAAAATAACCTGCTAAGTTTCCCATAAAAGTTTGGAAATTCAACCGGATAATGACAGTACACAATTTGAAAATGTATCTGCGATGTAAAGAATAAGAAAGTCAATGGCCGATTTTTCATTCGATATTTTTTAACGGATTAAGATTCTTTGAGCAGCGGGATAATTCGCATTACAAACAACATTTACAACAGTAAGTTAAACAAAAATCAGTATTTGTCTAAATACGTTTATCAGCTGAAATTGTCAGTACGTTTCTACGCAAATTTTTCACTTTACGTCCTGAATTGAATTTTACTTAAGGCTACCAAGATATCTCACCAAAGAGAACAAAATTTCCGTCTGTCTCAAGGGTTATCTTAATCTCGTTTCCTTATTAAAAAAAGGATAATACAAACAGGCTGATTTTTCGTTACGTTTATATTTAACGCGTTTACTTAGTATACGTGTACTTAAGGTATCAGCCACCCTTCAGGACCGTCCGCGCGCGGATCGCTGTAGCGTCAGTTGTTTTTATAAAAACCCCTATAAACCATATATTTTTTAAAAGCTTAATAATTCCACATTATGGATTTGAACTAACAAAAACGATTTACTTAAATGTGTTTCGAAATTGGAAAGTTTTGTGTAAAAGTACACTTCTCTATAAATCATGTTCCACTCCCGCCGGAAATAAACGGAAGAAAACAATTAACACCGCATTCGCTTCTCAACACTTTCCACTAAAAAACCGCGTCTCAGATTTTTGACAAGTGCGTTTGTTTTTCTTTTATTAGCAAATGAAGTTGGGAAAGGCAATTAGTCAACACTCCCCGTGGAAAAAAAGCTCTAGCTTTAAAATGAAAAGGAGTATTAAAATTCGCAGACACGGTTTTGTAGAAGAGATATATGGCATCACTCTGGCCAAATTTTAGCCAAATTGATTGAAAGGCTGCCGACTTGTAGTTCAAAACGTACGAGTCGATCGGCAAAATTTGCGTTCGGAGATAAAATAGAAAATACATTTTTGGCGGCATCCTACCTGGAATGAGATTATAACACCTAAATGTTTATTCTGATTGATAGCAGAGAGGGATCAATTTTCTCTAACAATAGGACTTTGACAGGTAACATGTAACAGGAACAAACTTTCGCGGCAAGCAAGGGAACAGTTTAATTCTCCGTTGGAAAACTTCCACTCTTTTACACCACGAGAAGCACGGTTTAATTCTTTCTCGAGCAAAAGGCTTGCCTCTCCTTCGATCTTTTTTGTATGATCCGCCCAGGCGTTTTTGTCGATCGGCGCAAGGCCAAGGAAACTAAAAAACTTTGAAGCCACCGATCGCGAATGTCCACCACCGATTGCTCGAAGGCCAAGAACTGAGGCCCGGTTTATTTCAAACGCTCTGTTCTTCTCGGAAGAACTAAAAACAGAATTTGTCTTGTGCGACGGACGGCTTTCATTCTCGCACTGGATTCTCCAGGTAGACCCAAGTCCATACTTAGTCGCTACATTTTCCATGACTTGGACTCTTCCCTGGCAAAATCGACAAGATACAGACTCGTCCAGTTTCTCAAGCAGCTTTTCGCTCGATACGATAGCTCGACCGCTTATTGTTTTCCACGTTCCATCAGCAGATGGGGTCGATGAGCTTAATTGGCTTTCTTCATCTGGCTCTTCAAGCTGGATTTTGGAGCGGCTTGCACTCTCAGCAACTGCAACATTTTCGCTTTTCTGAATATCCAACTCCTCGAGCCACTTCTCTTGCTGATAAAATGAGCCTTTGTCGCTGTCTGCCAATTTTGCGACCCATTCTTTGTCAAACTTGCTCTTCGATTTCTTGTTCGCTCTCGCTTTCGATGACGAAATTTTCTTTTTTTTTGGCGACAAACGCTAAATATCCACGGAGAATACCAAAGGCTATAAACAACGCGAAGCCAATTCGCACGTGTTGTGTCGAAGCACGCACTCGGTATCACGTTACTAGTTCACGGGCAAGTTAATTGATATATGACACGAGTATGACAGATCTTGTCAACGATCAATTAAGATAATTAACGAGAAAAAATCTTTTACCCCCGATATCTTTCGACAGAAATAATATTTTCTTCTAATTTTTTTTTTTAAAAGAAAGCTCTCAAGCATATCTATTTGAAAATGTTGAAACCTCAAATACGGAAAAATGGCAATTTTAAGGGTGGCTGATACCTTAATATTCTTCTTTTCCTTTTTTTCCTTCAATTTCCTTGGCTCTTGACTTGTCTGGTCATGCAATATTACTTCCATTTATTATATACACGAGTGTTTTACTGCAAAATATACCACTCGTAAAATTCATAAAAACTACATCCGGGACCCGAGTGGCTTATTTTCCATAATCTCACACGTGAGTTTATCAATAACATAATTTCGGTAATTTTCCTTCGAAATTTGTAGGCGTCTTGCGTCTTTTGAATTTTACTTACACATTTTTCAAAGTTTTGCTTATATTTTGTCATTGTAGAGTCCTATTCAGCTCGATGTTATTTCTCAAGATTATTGTAACCAATGTCTTAAATTGCTGTACTGTAAATCTGAGCCGTCACAATTACTTTTTGGCGAATAAAATCTATCATTTTATCGATGTCTTTTTGTCTATATAATAAAAAGAACATTACATGGCGGCTTGAAGATATGAATTTTATTTTTTCGTGGCAAAAACAATATTTTACTCACTCGCTGCACTCGTTCGTAAAATATTGTTTTGCCACTCGAAAATAAAATTCATATCTTCGCGCCACCGGTTAATATCCTCTATTTATTTTACTTTTATTCCTTTCCAGTGCGTACTTTTCGTGCATATAAATACTCCTTTTCAGTGCCTCCTTCGCAAATGATACTTACAGGACAAGCCCTGTGTGTCTTCTCATGATTAAGCTCCATACAATTCCTTATAATTTCATTATATGGAGCCTTCCAGGAGACTTTTCTCCATTAGCTTAGGCGCGGCGGATTTTGTCACGTATGATTCACACGAGGTGTCTTTCCCAACACCCTTCTGTCAGGAAAATGTCATCATATGAAAGCAAACCAGTCACGATCGCGTCGGCAGATGTTTTCTTCGCAGCAGGAATCAGGATCGTGGGCTCAGGGACTGAAAAGGGGGTCCTGATCCCGTATTCCCGCTCCTTTTTCACGAAAATCCCGCAGTATCCCGCATCCCGCTATTTTTTTTTTTTTTTCTTCAGAAAAAGCCGCCAGACTTCGCAATCGGCTCCGCCTCTTGGGACGTTTTCGACAAGGTGTTATAAGGAATCTTTTACCACTTTGGGAGGCCCTTTATAGTTGTTGAATTACCCATGAAATGATGTTTGAGATTTTTTAAAATAAATGATTAGTGTCATGTGGATAGTGCGAGATTGATGCCAATTCGAAGAGGACAGACAGCAAAGTGTTGTTGCTCAACTGACGTTGTAACTTTTCATGAGTAGAACCTCGTGCAATAACGGACGTAACAGTGTTGGCCAACAACTTTCAATATTGTTACATATACATGTTGCGTTTGTTTGCACACCCTCGGCTGTTGCATGTTGTTGCGCAAAGTTTGAAACCGGTCAAACAGCCAACCGCCACACGGTACGATGGATACTGCGGTCTCGTAACGGAGAATTATGTCTTACAATGAAAGACTTATTAGACTGGACCTACCACCAGTATCTCTAATATGATAGAGAGCTTAATGATATAAAATTTTTCTACAAATTCTTGTATGGGCAAACAGATCTAGATTTACTGAGTAAACGTCCATTAAACTTCGCTTCTTTTGTAACTCACGCTTCTTTTGCAACTCATTGATTCGAACCTTTCATAGAAATTTCACATAGATTACGTTTGTCAAAAAGTCAGTAAAACAATCGGAATTATCGCCAAGCTCAGACATTTTGTTCCCCGTCATGTACTTCTCACTTTATACCGCTCTTTAATTTTCCCTTATATCAGTTATGGTATCTATGCGTGGGGTCATGCTGCTGAAACGCATCCTCATAAACTACTGGTTCTCCAGAAGAGAGCCCTTAGGCTAATGTTCTTCGCTGAACCAAGAACTCGTGCAGTTCCGGTTTTTTTTAGAAACAAAACAGTTGCCGATATCGTTCTTGCTATTTGAGCAAATGAGCCTTTTAATGTACGACGTCCATAATAATCTCGCTCCTGATAACATTAAGAATATGTTCCCGAAACTGTCTTCTATCCACAGTTACAGGACTAGATCTGTTACTAATGAAAATTACTATGTTGAACAAGTTAGAACTGAAAATATGAAGCGAGCCTTCTCTATTTCCGGTGCTTTAATTTGGAACAGTATTCCACTTTCTATGAAAACACTTTAAAAAAATCAATTCAAAAGCGAACTAAAGAGAAAACTCTTTGAAATACTGGGAAAAAAAGGACGACTATATTAGAGTTTCTGATATTACAGGGCAATTCTCAAAATCGTAACATGGTATGCTTCCGTATGAAGTACAGTCTGCCTTCCTGTCTTACCCTGGCTATAAACCACACGACAAACTAGATTGCTTCTAGGATTGTTCGTTTAACATATATATATATATATATTTATACAATTTTC